TGCAAAGACGTATTTAAATGAAAGTGTCAATGACACTGTAGCTCACGACAAAAAAGGACACAAATGAGTGAGTAAGAAGAAGCAACCACCGACGTACATTATAGAAATGAAGAGTATATATGGGAGAACTCCCATTATATACTCTTGATAATTATATGTGTAATTTTTTATGTGAAAATAATAAATAATATTATATAGAAATTATAAATAATTTATAAACAAAAATGAATCACAATTTGTGACGGTAGATGGCGCTATACCCGCTTTGATGTTTCTTAATAGCATAAATCATTATATATATCATAATAATAATAATATAATAATAATAGTATAAATCATATATGTTCATAGCAGGAATTTTGCATTAAAGATATTGTCAATGAAATCTTGTAAAACGAACCAGACGAGTGTGACACCACAGACTGTTTGTTATCTGTGTGTCTATATAATATGCTATATAATTGCCAAACCCTACCTAATTTGCATAATTTTTTTTTAAATATCAAAACCCTTAGCCCTTACTCATTCACATACCAAAAATGAGCAAAATCCGTTGAACCTGAACTGACTAATGGCAATTCCCATTTTTGGTAAAAAATTGCCGTGGCTCGAAAGAACGTCGACTGGCGTGCTCCAAAATAGGACGTTTAACATGGGAGCATAGCAGTAACAACTATACCCAAATTCAAACATGTGGGTCAAACGGTTCCCGAGTTATCATTGACCGTAGCCAAATGTTGTAACGTTTAAACAACGTGTTAGCGATGTGGTGTAGCCGCTGATTAGCTGACTGGCGAGTCGTGACTATTGACCAATCAGAGCACGCGAGACCTCATACACACTTCGGCCAATGCATACAGTCTAAAAATTGGAGCAGGTTGGATCGAATCGAAAATACGGTAAAAAATATCGAGGATCGGATCGAGGAAAGAGAATCGCGATCCGATTCGATTTTGGTTGATCGTTACAGCCCTAGTTGTTGTTATGGTTTATATAAAGATGTGCGCAGCTGAGTAATTTCCGCCACATTTCACTGCAGTTCAAAACTTAAAAAAGGGAACCAGATCGGGTTCGGGGTTTAGCTCCGTTCCCTAGCGGAGGCCACAATAACAGTGTTCCCCTGGCGGAAAAGGTCTGCGAGGTGGTAAATTTTGTGTGTGTGTGTTTGCGCGTTTCGAGGTCCTATCAAAGCGAGCACCACAGGTGTTCGCCCAGCTAGGGGGGTCCAGGGGCATGCTCCCCCAGGGAAATTTTTTGAAAAAATGGTGCAATTTGGTGCATTCTAAGCTACTGAACACATTGTATGAGACTTTAGTTCAATAAAGTGTAGTTTATTGATGGAAGAACAGTGATTTACATCAGCGCGGCGGTGTTTTGGACAAATTTCTATGTTGTGGCTGAGAATTTGAGCGAGGCGTCACCTCGCTCGTGTCAATGCAGGGGAAACACTGAAATAAGTTGTCAGTGGCAGTAGGCCTAGCATTGAAATTTGAAAACAAGACTGGACTAAAATAAAACCGTATCGTATGCTGAAGAATACACACTACTCTGTCACTAGTCATGCTTACCAAAAATGGGGAAAGCAGTCAACACAAGTGGAGCACTTTAATTTAGTTTGTGATGGCGTTATTACTTTGTGGTAACAGTACTCAGTAGTTCTATTAATATTTATTTAATTTTAACTAGAATGTAGGCCCTAGGCCTTGTAAGTTGTAGTTGAACTTGTAGTTGTAGTTGTAGGACCTAATTTGTAAATTGTACCTACTACTTAGTACTACTACTACTACTAGTACTACTAGTACTACTAGCATTAGCATGTAGGCCTATTGCCGTATTGGTACTAGATGGGTTCGACGAAATACACTAAGAAACGCTAGGAGCGAAAGGGTTATTTTTAATCATTATTGTTATATAATTTTATATGGCGTATACTTACATTATTTGACGCGTAGCTATGATCCATTTTCAACTGAATTCGTAAAACAGCGGAAGAACATTTACACATTTACCGGCATGGGGCATGTTGCGCCATCTACAAACTATTAGTTCACGTTAGCAGAACAGCACGTTAGATGACAGCACTTGACTATGCAATCTGAAAACGGCGCTAAGATGGTAACTCTCATAGATTTCTGAGTCACTGAGTTTACCTAGCTATTCTCATAGTATAGGCTATATAATAATTAATATCATATAATATAATTCATTTTGGAAACTGTAAATCCCTAAAACTGCGAAGATACATACCGGTATCTTGTTGCCACAAAGAGATCGCAAGGTTTTACGAGAAATTGGCAGGTGACAATGTCAATGTCTGACGGAGTTACATTGACAACAACAAATAGTCCAACATATCAGAGGTATACTATTAACTAATACTAGTAATAGTAATACTATTAATAACGTGTTGCAGGAAGACTTAACTGATAGTGATATAAATCTGAAGATAATTTTATAGACATTGTCCAGGGTCCTTTTCAGTCTTAAATTTAATGTCCGCTCGTCCGTCCATCCGTCTGCGCCTCGCTCCTGTCTCTCCTCTCTCTCTGTGTGTGTGTGTGTGTGTGTGTGTGTGTGTGTGTGTGTGTGTGTGTGTGTGTGTGTGTGTGTGTGTGTGTGTGTGT